GCTGAAGCAGTAGTATATCCCAGGAGACAGACAGCAATCAGCATGCACCTGGCAAGTCAAACTGGCCCCACCACCTTGACTGCCGGGACCTACACCTAAATCCCTAACCTTATCAATAAATCAGTAAACATCTATTAAGTACCTACTATGAGCCAGGCTGGGGCTACCAAAAAAAAAGTCAAAAGATAATCCCTGCCCTCAAGAAGTTTATAATCTAAAGAGGAAACAGCATGCAAATATATATATATATATATAAAGTGAGCTATATAAAGGATAAATAGGAAATAATTAATAGAGGGAAGGACCTGGAATTCAAGAGGTTGGGGAAGGCTTCCTGTAGAAGGCAGAATTTTAAATGGAACTTAAAGAAAGCCAGGATATCAGTAGGCAAAGCAGAGGAGGGGGAACATGGGGAACAGCCAGAGAAAACACTCTGAGCTGAGAGATAGATCGTCACCTGAGAGAAAGCTCTAGGAGGACAATGTCACTGTACTGAAAAGTATATACTGGGGAGTAAGGGGTAGGAGGACTGGAAAGGTAGGAGGGGGCTGGGTTACGAAAGGTATTGAAAGCCAAACAGAGGATTTTATATTTGATCCTAGAGGCGATAGAGAGCCAGTGGAGTTTACTGAGTGTGTGCTGGGGTAGGTAACGACATAATCAGACTTGCATTTTAGGAAAATCACTTTAGTGACTGAATGGAGGATGAACTGGAGTGGGGAGAGTCTTGAGGCAGGCAGACCCCCCCCCCCCCCGGCAGGCCATTGCAACAATCAAAGCTTGAAGTGATGGGGGCCATCGGGACCAAGGGGCTGGGGGGGTGCTATTAGTCACTCATGTGTTTAAATACTTTTCTTCTACTTCCATCAGTTTGTGCACCTACCACTTTTATCATGATATCCTGATGGAGAACAGCCTAGGACACTGAATCCCAAATGCGCCCCTTTTTCCAACTGTTCTATTATTCTCCTGGGGCAAAACTATCCTCCCAGTCACCCAGGCTCCCAACCTTGATGTCTTGCTTAACTCCAACCTTGCACTCACTCCACACATCCCATCTCTTGCCAAATCTTGTCATTTCTACATTAACAACATCTCTTGAATACATCCCTTTCTTTTATAACCACACAGTTACTGTCTTAACACAGACTTTCATCTTCTCTTAGCTGGACTATTGCAATAACCTAATAGGTCTTTTTGCCTCCAATCTATCGACACTCTGATCCAATTTACACTCAGCTGCTGAAGTGATTTTTCCAAAGGGCAGATCTGACTGTGTTGCCCTCCATCCTCTTTCCCCTATCTTCCCCCCAAGTGGTTCCTTATATCCTCCTGGATCCAATATAAATGGAATTCCCATACCTGTGATGTTACCCCCTCCTCACTTCTGTCTTTTAGCTTCCTTGACTTTCTTCCAGACGCAGATCAAATCCAGCTTTCTGCAGAGGCATTTAAATTTCCTCCCACGCCTTCCCTCTCAGAATACCTAATGTCTGTCCAGTACCCTCAGCCTGGTTTAGCCCATCTGCCCAGAGGGTTTTTACTAGGGTGTGACCTCTGCACATGCAACAGCTTCCTGGAGACACGAGTGGCATTTGGGTGAGTCACGTGGACACCCAAGGTGATGGGTAGCCCTGAAAAGGGCTTGGCAAGGCCTCAGCCCAGAGGTATGTCCATTAGGGGGATATCTACCCCAAGCATGTGAAGATTTCCCCCAGTGGAATGGTTGGATAAGAATAATTTGTTCCTAAGGCCATGAAGGCGGCTGAAACAAGCTCTGTTGAGCTCTTAGAACTTGGTCAGACATCAAAGAAGCCAAGGTCATCCACAGCATTCCAGGCCATCGACATCCATCTTGACTTTCGTCCTGCCTCTGCATTTTGATGACTTTGGAAGAGACAGTGAAGCTGATGACTTTGCACCTCTCTACCTCACTTAAATCTGATTCCTGAGCAAACCAAGACATCCCCCATCATCCACTATTTTACCTAAACATCGTGATGTAAATGATCCTCTTCAAAAACTAACAATGAAGAAGGCAGGGACTTAACTGAGCTCTCCCAAATTTTACAGTGGAGAAGAAGATGTGGGAGATAGGAGGGAGCGCTTGAACCTTACTTTCATTGGAATTGTCTCAAAAAGGGAATAGCATACACACTCAATTGGGTATAGACATCTATTTTAGCCTATAGGAAAGTACAAGGGGAAGGAGATTAGAGAAAAGGGGGTATTGATAGAAGGGAGGGAGGAGTCGGGGAGGTAGTGGTCATAAGCAAAACATTTTTGAGGATGTACAGTGAAAACAAAGAGACTAAGATAAACTGGGATGGGTGGGGGTGGGAAGGTGGAAATAGGATGCAGGGAAATGTGCAGTAATCATAACCATGAAAATATTTTTACACCAAGTTTGCTGATAAAGGCATCATTTCTTAAATATATAGAAAACTGAATTAAATCTATAAAAATAAGAGCCACTCCTCAGTTGATAGAGGATATGAACAGGTAATTTTCAGATGAAACAATCAAAGCTATCTATAGTCATGTGAAAAATGCTCTAAATTACTATTGATTAGAGAAATGCAAATTAAAACAACTCTAAGCTACAACCCCACACCTATCAGATTGGCTAATTTGACATAAAAGGAAAATTACAAATGTTGCAGAGGATATGGGAAAATGAGACACTAATGCATTGTTGGTGGAGTTGTGAACTGATCCAACCATTCTGGAGCACAATTGGGAACTATGCCCAAAAGGCTATAAAACCACATATACCCATTGACCCAGAAATACCACTACTAGGTTTGTATCCCAAACAGATTTAGAAACAAAGGAAGGAGGGAAGGAAGGAAGGAAGGAAGGAAGGAAGGAAGGAAGGAAGGAAGGAAGGAA